AGAGATAAGGGTCTCATGGACTTTCCCGCCTGGGCTGTCTTCAAACCATGATCCTCAGATCTCCGCCTCCTGAGTAGCTAAGATTACAGGCGTGAGCCACTGGCGCCCAGCTCAAGTGAAAAGCTTTGACTTTGAAAATCAAATCTGGGGTTCTGGTATATGCTATAGCCAATAGCAAAATTATCCTTCCTCTTCTTAAAATTAAAAAAAAACTCAAATATTCAGGTTACAGTATCTCGAGCATCTTGGTAAAGAATCAAGATTTCACAGAAACAGAACTCCTTCTTTTGTGCTGACCCTTCAGGTAAGGCAGTTACAGGCCCGCAGGATGCCTAAACCTTCTTCTGATTTGTCTGGGGTAGAGGCAGAGGCCTGTGCTGGTGAAGTGTGTTCTGTATGTTGAGCACCAGGGATACAAAGACTAGTCAAAGGCAGCCCTTGTTCCTGCCAGGGGGAATTATAATAAACGTGGGGTGATACACACCAGAATGCCACAGTGTGTTCAAGCGGAGAGGAGCGCTGTGTGCATCCCCGAACGCTTCACAGAGGAAGCGACATCCAAACAGCTTTGCAGGGTACACAGGAATAGGCCAGGTGAACAAGATAGGGAAAGGGATTCTGGGTAGCGGTAATACCTGGGGGTGGGGACGAGAGGCGGCTACCACGGAAGGTGATCAGGAGGTGAACTCTGGAAACTGGAGGCTGGAGGCCACAGAGCTCAGAGGCCTCGGGCCTCCGGGTCCCATCATCGGAGCTGGTGTACCACTAGCCAGGGCCTTGTTGGAGCACCCCCAAGCCCCCCAAACACCCCTGCCCTGGCCAGTGTCACCTCTGAGAAAGCCTTGGGGACAGGTGCTGGGCAGCCTCCCAACACGCTCAGCGGAGGTGGCAGTGGAAGCCTCAGTTTCCCGGCGAGGAGGACACTGGCCGGGTGTCAGAGGATCCTTTGGGGACCCCCACGAGATTCAGTTTGGAGAATGTGCCTGCTGGGGGTGAACTCCCGAAACTCTCTCCCTGCCCACTAGGAAGCCCCAAAGCTGCAGGACTGGGGGCCAGGCCCAAGTTCATGATGACGTCTATGGACTTGTATGGGAAGCTGACGGGTCTACGGTAGACAGTATCCATTCCCAGCCCCCAATGGGTGCAGAGGCAACTTCAGGACCAGCGGCGGCAGTGGGTGGGGGGAACTAGCAGTGTTTGGGGCTGAGGATGGAGGAAGAGGGGGTCACGCTATCCCAGAGTAGGAGTGGGGGGGGCGAGGGAGGAGTGTCCATCACTCTCAGAGCAGACCACGGATGGCCTCCCTTCATTATCATCCCATAGGAGAAAGCCAGGTAAGAAGGGACAGTGCCAGCCCAGCTGGTTTCCTCCCTCTCTACCAACTTCCTCCTATCCGGAGGGAGGCAGTTCGCACAGTGTGGACCGGCTGACATGAGGTTGTCCAGCTCTGCCAAGGCTGATCCCAGGGACCATGAGGCTGGCCTGCCACCTGCTGGCCACTTTTGGTCACGCAGGTTAGGCCTGTTCGGGGAATTCTGCAGGCAGAAAGGAGCATGTTTTTCTTTTTCTCCTTCTCCTCCCCCTCCTCCTTCCCCTTTCCATTTCCCTTTTTCCTTGTGAGACAAGATCTAACTATCCAGTTCAGACTCTCAAACTCTTAATCCTCCTGCTTTAAGCCTCCCTCCCTTAAAGATTACAGGTGTGTACTACCACACTCGACAAGATAGAAATTCCAAGGAAGCCAGCTTCACTTTGGAGAACATTGGAAATGTACTAAAAGCCAGAGAGGTTAGCCAGCTCATGTTCATGAAGACTCTAGCATGGATTTCTGTATCGGAGGCTGACAGGTGTGTGGAAGAAAGTCTCCATCACAAACACCCAATGAATGGAGATGCAACTCCCGGGTGAGTTTATAAGTCTCAGTCTCTTTCCTCCCTTTTTACCCATGGAAGGAGCAAGAAGAATATCTTAAACCAAAGGTTTCTGTTCTCAAGAGCTAGTTAACGTATCAGGTGCATGCTACGTGACCCAGATGCATCGAGAGTCTTCTGGTCAACATCAGGTCCCTATCAGCCTAAAATGTACACTCCGACCCTCCTTGTGGATTGAAGAAACTGGACATCAAGGTTAACATGTGAGTGTCACTTTGGCTGGGGCCACAGATGCGTTCCAACTTCATCCACTGCCCCTGTGCCACATGCCATGTGGGCAGATGCAGAGAGAAAGAAGATCCAGTATCATCCACCTGGAAGCTAGCAGGCTAGGATGACCAACGAGAACCCTAGCACTATGGGATAAACCATCCAGTCTGCCCAGGACTGGGCATGAAGATATCGGATAAACATGTTCAGCAAGGGATCTCTGTCGAGATGAATGACTAATGTCACATAGAAAGGGTCTGAACTGTCTGCAAAGATACCCCCACACACTTAAACAGCCCCTGATGCCTGCAGAGTAGCACTTAGTCGCACACAGTAAGCACTTCGGTATTAACATAGGTAGTAACACTACTTGCACAAGTGAACTCTGAGGTAGGTACTGAACTTCACAGAAGTCATAGCCCTGCTCTGCGGGTAGAGATGGGATTTGAAGGTGACATCTGAGCTAATGGCTTATTCTCAACCACTGCAAACCCCCTTGCCCCCCACTATGTATTCACCCTTTCTCTCCCCCCTCCACACACAGGAAGCATCTTTCCAGACAAATAGCTGAGCCAGAAAGAATGCAGGCAGCACAGAGCTGTCCCAAGGCAAAGCCAGATGTCAGGTTGAAGATAAATAGAAGGGCCATGTGGTCATTTAGGTACTGGACAGCAGAACTATCCAGGGAAGGGAATCCAATATCCAGAACCAACACCTTTGCAGACACTAAGCCCTAAGCACCGATCCTGAGGCTTGAGCTTTATATGAACACCTAACATACTAGAACCAAGCTTCACGACAAGCACCGTGGAGCACCCCACAGCAATCACAGGACAGCAGTGACAGGTGAAGTCACAGCGATTGCTTAGAAAAGGGAGCCTGGTGTCCAAGTCTCCTGAACATACACTTAATGTGAACTCTATACGGAGAATGCATGATCAACAATCAGCTACTCCATTGAGCGTAAGTTCAATCCCTGACCTAACTCAGTTGTATTCACAGAGTTAACTTTGACAGATGGACGTGAGTGAACACCAGAGGATCTAGAAGTGCTCATCTGTGCAGGCACTACATAGCATCAGCCTTCTAGAGATGCATACATGCGTGGCCTGCAGCCCCAAGGGCTGGGCACGGGCCTACGCTCAGAATCCTCTGCTTCCATCCACGCCCTCCTCTGCCCTGGGTGCAGTGCGGCCGGGCCCCTGCATGGGGGCTGACATTTTAGACTGTGGATTCTATCTTCAGCTGCCGCAGGAGAGCGGCAAACCTGAGCGCACGGGCTGCACTGTGTACCGATCACCAGTCGAATGGCTGTTGCAAAGAGCTCGGCACGTGGCCGGCCTTTGCCTGTAGAACGTGCCATCTGGAAATGCTGTCCCAGAGGCTGGAGAGCATGTCACTTACGCCCGCCTTGGGTGTCTTGGACAGGCTGTGGAGCCTCCGAGAGAGCAGTCCACACTCAAGGAGCCGACCCAGAGGATTTGGGATGAGGACTTCCCAGCGAGCCTGTGTTCATGTCTCTCTACCTCATTGTGGGAGGAGTTAGGGGAAGGCTGAGACCAAAAGTGGTTTATGGGGCAACATTACCCACTGTATGTCAGACTGAAGTTTGTCATAGTCGTGGGGCTTGAACTCAGGACTTAGGCGCTGTCCCTGAGCTCTTTTGCTCAAGGCTACCATTCTATCACTTTGAGCCACAGCACCATTTCTGGTTTTTGAGGGGTTAACTGGAGATAAGAGTCTCAGGGACTTTCCTGCCCAGGCTGGCTTCAAACTGTGATCCTCAGATCTCAGCCTCCTGAGTAGCTAGGATTACAGGTGTGAGCCACTAGTGTCCCACAGTTCCCCCCACCCCTTTTGAAAGGTAACATGGATTATTTGTACCTGCCATGTTTGGATTTGGTTGTGTGTGTGTGTGCGTGCACATGCATGCATGTGTGTGTGTGTGTGTGTGTTGGTACTGGGGCTTGAACACTCTTGCTTTGCTTTTATTAACCAAGACTAATGCTCTACCACTTGAGCCACACCTCCACTTCCAGCTTTTTGCCGCTTGATTAGAGATACGAATCTTAAAGATTGGTCTTACAGGCTGGCTTTGAACCACAATCCCCAGATCTTAGCCTCATGAGTATCTAGAATTAGAGGCATGAGCCACCAGCATCAGTCTGCTAGCATCCACATCAAACACACTGACACACTCGCAACCCATCACTTGAGCAGGTGTATGGGATGGCACAATCAGACTATCATAGCCCGGGTTCAACTTTCATTTCCTTTTCTCCTTCCCTCCCTCCATCTCTCCCTTTTTCTTTCTCCCCCCTTCATTCCCTCTCTCCCTTCCTCCCTTCCTTTCTTTCTTCCTTTTCTTTCCTTCTCTCTCTCTTTCCTTCTTTCTTGTTGGTCATGGGCTTGAACTCATGGCCTTACACTGTCCCTCAGATTTTTCACTCAAGGCTAGCACTCTACCACTTAATTGGTAGATTACTTGGAAATAAGTCTTATAGACTTTCCTACCTAGGATGGCTTCAAACCATGATCCTCAGATTTCAGCCTCCTGAGTAACTAGGATTACAGGCGTGAGCCACCAGTGTCCAATTTCAACTTTCTTTCTGGCTGGGTTTTGCTGCCCACAGGACTTCAAATACATTTTCTGTTTTGCAGAGCTACTGGCCTTTGAGCTGGCAAGGTTACGCTCGTGGAGAATGGGGTACAACGGGTGACTGTCAGCTTAGTAAAACTTAACTTCCTTCTCTGTGGCCAGTTTCTGAAAGCACACAAGCTCTCCCGTTTCCCCGAAGAGAAGAGACAAGCCTCGTCTCAACTCTGCCCTGGGAGTGGCATGCGTCCATCCCGGCTTACCAGTCTGTGTGAGCGTCATCAATCACCAACAGGACCCTGGGTCTTTGGACCATGGGTGTGGAGGGTGTGGGGGGCTCTGCCAGCCCCACAGGGCCCTGTGACGTTTGCTTCATGGCACTGGAGAAGGAGCTGAAGAGGCTGGACCCCGGGGAGGAGAAGGAGGCTGCCAGGGGCTGGGGGTGCCTCCTCTCCATGGCCGGGGAGGCGGGGGAGCTGGTGGAGCTCTCTGGGCGCTGCAGGTCGGTCATGTAGCCATTGGGCAGGTTGGCCACGAAGCTGCTGTCGGAGAGACGCCGCCTGAGGAAATTCATGGCTGCGGTTCAGTGGGGATGGCTCCTTCCTCAGATGTGTATGGTTGAACTTCCCAAGACAGTTGCTGGTTAAAGGGAGTGATAGGCCTTGGACCAGAGCAGCATCAGGAATTTCGTCAGCCGTAGTGGAATTTGCTTACCTGCTGGAAACCAGCCAAGAAGTCCATTAGTGGAAATGACCTCTTCCCCTTTAAGAGCAAATAGCTAAAGCATTTCCCTTCCCTCCACCCCATCCGCTGCTGGTGGCAATATAAATTAGGACATCCCTTTGGAAAAAAAGTTGGCAATCAGCCTTAGAAACATATCTTATAACCTACAATTTCCATTTGCTGGAATTCCGTCCTTGGGAAAAGAATCTGAATTACGGGAAAAGGCCACAGGTGCACAAATATGTTGATCACAGTCCATTTGCATAGCAGCCAAATGCTATTTTAAAAGTAGTGAACATTAAGCCATAGGATAGTGTAGTCGATCAGTGAACCTATGGCCTAAAGGAGCACTTAGCAACAGGAAAAAAAAATGTGTTGTGACAACAAAAAACATCATGACACAAAATTGTGGGGTGTGGGGTAATGGCATTCATGTAAAAGCTGAAACAACCAAACTTGGAAATAAATCAACATATTAGCAGTGATTACCTTGTGGGTATGTAATCATATCCCTAAACCCTTAACCACCATCCCTTTTTTTCATTTATTTATACGTTCAGAATTTTCTATGATTTTTATAGTTTATTGATACATTTTCTGTTTTTATAGCACATATATTGCTGTGGCTTTAAAATAAGTAAGATCAGCTGGGTGCCGATGGCTCATGCCTGTAATCCTAGCTATTCAGGAAGCTGAGATCTGAGGATCGAGGTCCAATACAAGCCCAGGCAGGAAAGACTGTGAGACTCTTATCTCCAATAAACCACCAGAAAACCAGAAGTGGTGCTGTGGCTCAAGTGGTAGAGTGCTAGCCTTGAGCTGAAGAGCAGAGGGACAGTGCCCATGCCCAGAGTTCAAGCCCCATGATCGACAGAAAACAAGAATAAATAAGATCAAAGGGAGTCCTCTAATTCAGATCTTAACACTCAAGATAGTGTGGAATATCTTTTTGTTTGTTTGTTTTATGCTAGTTGTGGGGCTTGAACTCAGGGCTTCGTGCTCTCAGTTGGCTTTTTCCCTAAAGGCTGGTACTATCTACCACTTAAGTAATATCTCCATGTCTCACTTTTCACTGGAAACTAAGACTCTCATGGACTTTCCTGCATGACCTGGCTTCAAACTGTGATCCTCAGATCTCAATCACCTGAACAGTTATGATTATAATAAGCCTAAGCCACCAGTGCCTGGCACCCTTGGGTGTGTTCAAACATATGCCCCTGCATGAGAGAGGACTGCATCTGGAAGTAGCCAGACATAAATTAGAAGGCTGTTGCAGTCCTTTGGGTTGCAGGTGTGAAAGGAGTTGGATTCTGTAATTTCCCACGTATTTTCCTCTTGGGTACCAGGACACTGGACATCCCTTCCATGCCAAGTTTAATCAGATCTTGAGACATAATGCTAATGGGAGGGACTCTGGTGAGGAAGGCCAGAGGACAAGAAGGACAGAAAGTCACCCAGAAACAGACCCCGGCAGCCAGCTAGATAGGCAACGCATGCTGCCCCCACATTGGCCACTAGAGGGCAGATGTGGTCAGATCAGATAGGGAAAACAAAACAACACAACAATAACAACAAACAAAAAACCCCACCACAACATGCAACCTGGCACGCTTGGATGACTAAAACCAACAAAGGAAAAGGCTGAAAGACATCTCAGACTTGGATAAAGTGCCAGGAGACAGCAATCAAACACAGAGCCTAGGACCACAGGATTTGCAGCCATGTGTAGGCTCCCGGCAAGAATGAGAGTCGTCGCAGACTAGCATCAGATGCTTAAAGGAAAGATGAGCCACTGACCAGCCCGGTGGGGAAAGTAGCTGTCTCCACTCCAGTATCTCATAGACACAAAGGCTTCCTTCCTTTACACCTTCACGTTAGCGCTGGCTTCACTTGCTACTCCGAGTCATTCCGGCTCAGAGATTCCCTGATTCTCCTCAGTTTAATTCTCTTTTCTGTGAAGGCACACATGGTATGCTAGGATGGTTTTCACTGAGCAATTCACCACGGGAATGTGCCTGTGTATGCAGGATGTTTGAGACGGTGGTGAGCTTTGTCTTTGATTGCTGGACCTCTTCTCAAATCCTTCCTCACTTTTGGCTTCTAAGACCTCATCCCACAGACCAGACCTCTTGGTAGGATCTTGTCATTTGAAGTGCAAATTCAATGGAGACTCAGACATAAGAGATGGGAATTCAAAGACATCACCCCTATTAAAACAGTTCTCCAGAGCTGTAGGTATGAGGCATAAGGTCTCGAAGCAATCTTCCTACTTGGGCTTTGAAACCTAACAAACTGAGTCTGTTGGTAGAATTTGGAGCATCACGAGAGTTGCAAGGGAAGAAACTGTTATTCTCTAAAAAAGTCTAAAGGTTCTATTCAACCGTGCATAGGTGGTTTAAGCCTATAATCCTAGCTATTCAGGAGGCTAGATCTAAGGATCACAGTTTGACACCAGTTCGTTGGAGATCAAGGCTTTCTAATTAACCAGCAAACAACAACAACAACAAAAATGAGCTGCAAGAGGAGCTGTGAATCAAGTGATATAAGGCAAGCAGTGAGTGAAAAAGCTAAGTACCAGCACATACAATTCCATCCTACGCCTTCCATAAACATCATATGTAAAAAGAACATTTTAAGAACGGATCCTCTTCTGAGCCCGAGTTGTTAATCCTCACAACTCCACCATTCTGGTCTTGGACACAAGTAGACAAGAGCCGGTGAGCCTAAAGGTGAGCCTCGTGGCTCCTGGTACCAGATTCCCTGACTTTCAATCCCAGTTCTGCGACTGACTGCAAGATGTGCGAAAAGTTATTTCACGTCCTAGGCCTCTGTTGCCTTGTTTTTAAATTGGAGATGATAGAAGGGTATGGATCTTTAACACTAAGTGACTTAGTATTTTAACACTGCTAAGGATCTGGAGGCGTGCCTGGGACCTGGGAAGCTGTGGCTGTCATCCTGGCTGTTTTCTAGGCAGCAGGAAGTCTGGCCACACAGATACCTTAGTTTGGGAGGCACTGTGGTAGGCATGAGCTTTGGAATGGGCCTGAATTGGAGACCCAACTCTGACCCTGGCAGCTGAGCGGCAGGTTCTTCACCTACCAGACCGGTGATGACCTTGCCTGCCTGCATCACAGGTCTTTTGAGCAGAGCAAAAAGCTAAAGTGCTTTTCAAATATCTGTCCAGTGACTGCACTGGGAAACGGACTTTCGGGGTATTCAGCTCTGCAAATGTTAACACCTCCTGCAACCAGCCACAAGGTACAGAACAGTTCCGCCCTCTCCTGCCCACCCATGGAAGTGCTTCCCAGGGGTGACAATGTCTCCGGCCCAGGGTGGCAGTAGCGCACAGGCTGGCGCCCGCATTCCCTCCAATGGTACATCTAGAGAAGGAATGCTGGGAGCCTCTCCTATTTCTTAGCAAACAAAGAAAGAAGAGGAATTCCAAGGACTGAGCCCCGATCTCACCTCTCACCTCCCATGGGCCCTTGCTCCAATGTCACCCTCTCAGTCCCCCAAAAGGCCACCATCTGCCACTTCAGATCCCTCGTTCCATATTCCGTACATTCTTTTGTTCATTGCATGTATCGCCAGCTACAAGGCGATGAGAGCCACCACGTGATCTGTCCACTGAGATGTCTTATGTATATAGAACAGTGCTCAGCACATAGCAGGACACTATGATTATCTGAGGGCCTGGATAGACAGGGGAAAATGATATAAAAAAGGGGGTGATATTGATCAAGCGTCACAATACTTACAAACCAACGGTGTGAACTGAAATCCCCTGTGCGAGGAAGGATTTGTTCTTTCAATTGTTGAAAGAAACTTGTTTAAAGTAACAGGCCCCAAGTTCAACTAACTTCGCCTGTTTCAAGAAGATGAACTGCACAATTGTTCTAAAGACAGTAGCTCTTCCTTAGTCGAAATGCCCATTTAATCAGCCAGGTGTCAGGCTCTGACACGTCACAGCTTTAGCCCAAGCAAAACGACATCACTGAGAATACCCGACTTCATGCCTCGGTGACGCCTCCCCCACCTCACCACACTCATCAAGTCTCCCTCACTCCATCTTCTTCTCCACGCATGCTAAAACAACACTTCCCCCTCCTCCGTGAGGAACCAGCATCTGGGGAGTAGGAAGTTTAAAAATGCATGGGGAAACCTGACCTGAATATTATCCATATATTGATGAGCAAAGACAGAGAGTCTCTGGAGAGGCTGGGAGAGCCCGCCTGTGTCACTTTAAGTGACACAGAGTTGTAAAGCGATGCCAAACTTCCTGGCACGCAGTCAGCTCGGTTCAAATACAGACCCCTTGGGCCTCCCGTGCACTGGGCTCCATTCCCACCACACGCGCACACACACATGCATGCACATGCACACACACACACACACACACACACACACACACACACACACGAGCATGCTCTGCCTTGGAGGAACTCAGAACCACGCACGCAGGCCTGGCTGTCCTGAGCTACCACCCTTCTTCCCAACCCTGTGGGCCCCTGTGTGTGCCCAGCCGTGGTGTCAGGACACCGCCTAAAAAGAGAAAAAGACAGGTGAAAGTCTTCTCGACATTTGCAATCACCTCGCCGTGCAAAGTATATTCACATAGAGAAATGCCAAAACAGAGTCCAAAGGAGAGCTCATAAACACTTGCATTGAATGAATGAAAGCACTCAATAGATCCTCCTGAGTTATCTACCAAGCAGCCACAGGGCTGATGTATTCATAGGACTCGCACGCAGCACCCCGGGCAGCCAGGCTGGGGTTGTCCAGCAATCACACAGCTGGCCTCTGACTTCTCCACACCTCACCCGAAGGCCATGTCTACCATCAACATGGAAGCCCTGGGGGCCCTGAAGT